GTAACACAGCTATAATGGAGTAAGATACAACAATCTGGATTAATTTTCTCAGATGAGGACTAGAGAAATTTGCAGCGTTCGGAAAGTATTTCAGATGCTACCAATAAATCTCAAGCTGAGAATCATATCAGTCAAACAAGCTTTTAAAAAAAATTAAAAGAAATATGTGTCCAATAAAATCAGCAATTTCAATCAACATAAGTAGAATTATCTATTGCCATATGTTAAATTGACTCCATGCAAAATATTCATTATTTTCAGAAAATCTATTTCTTAACTTATACAATTCACTTATTCCATTTTGCTACACACACTCATAGCAGCTAAACAATATATAAGGAGAGACAGACAGACAGACAGACAGACAATAAAACTAGAAAAAGAAGTGCTGCTATTTGAATTACTTGTACTAGAACAACAGATCTTCTGGGAAGAGATGCCAAGCATCTGCTTCATCAGATAGCAAATCCAGCATTGCCCATTGCTTCATGAGAATTCTAGTTTATGCACCTTACTTGAAGCTTCTTAATTGGAATCTCTGCTTGTTTTTGCTTCTACATGTCTGCTTCTATAATGCATAAATCCGAAGTTAAGATTGGAAATGTCTAATTACAAAGAAAGAATAGAATTGATATAACTGATATAATTCATAGGATTTCAACACTACATTTTTTCCTAAGTTCTTAAATGTTCCAACACTGTAGGTGATATTGATAGGATACATTTCAAAATTCAGTAATTTTTCCTAATCTGTGGAAAGTTGGAATAGGCAGAAAAACAGGCATAGACAACAACGTTAATAGATGTAGGAGCTGTATAACTTTGTGTATCAGAAAACAATTATCCAGCTCACACAAGCAACCAAATTTTGTGAGTTTCATCACTAGTAATGAAACACATGGACATATGAGCATAACTCAGCTACAAGGCATGAGCCTACCTCAACCACTATATGGTTCTGCATGCTGGAAATCTTACTTGACTTCAGTGAACTAAACAGAGTTATTTGTGATTTTATCTTCTTCATTGTGGAACCCTCCCAATGGCAATCTTCATCATAAATTCATGGATTCTGTAAACCATTAAATTAATGCCTTTGCAGCAGCCTCTGATAGAAATACCAGAGTTATTTACCTCCCTGTCATCACGGATCCATACTGAAAAACATAAAATGGACAGATTTTTATTCAAAAGGACACTTGATTTATTGAAACCCCATTTAACAAATTCGTAACCTTTACATAGATGAAAAATTAGATTGTCTCTCCAATGGTCACAACATTTGCATAAGTAGCCAAGGAAAAGTTTGTCATTATACAGAACTCTCTCAAAAAATTAATCAGTTCCCCCAACTAATGGATACATACTGAATGAGTAGACAAAAGTTCAACAAATCATACATTTAATTACAAGACAAAAATTTTCCCGCAGCATGTGGAAGGGATGAGAGAGAAATCAGTCCAGCCAATCAAGTAACACCACAATAAAAATAAGGATGATTGTTGGAAAAAGCAAATAGAAATCCTAACAACAAGAACTGTGCAAAATGTTGCAGAATACCACTATATGTTGCAACATGTGGAAAAAAACTACAAATAGATCTGAATTGGCTGTATTCTTATAAACGTATCTTTTTCATGCCTTCTATTATTATTGTTAACAGGAATCTCTCTTAGATGGGGTAATTTACTCCTTCTGAATTTTGCAGTCCAAAGGATCTCCTTATCTAGCAATGAACTTGGGTATTCAAATACTGTATTGGTTGAAATTGGGAATATTTCCCCAACTTTGATTGGTGAGCCAGTGACACCTGTTTGCATAGATTAGGCAACTATAACCTATATGAACATCTCTATCGGATTATTATTATGACTTTTATGTAGTTTTGGAAATCTCAACTAGTCTGCAAAGCTACAGCTAGACTGCTGGAAAAAATAGTTATCAGAAGCATTGTTGTTCAGTCGTTAAGTCATGTCCGACTCTTCGTGACCCCATGAACCATATCGCGCCAGGCCTTCCTGTCCTT